TTCCAAAACGTACAAACGTCTATCACTCTGTCAACTCTCAGCTTTATAGTACACATGGTTTTTAAATTCAAAAGTCAATAAGTGGGCTTATTAGATAATAACAAGATTGAGACGCAACCATGGTTAAGTGGTACTTTTCTACACATGATTAACCCATGAAGAAGTGATATGTATTCAGCATGTAAGACAACAGATTCAAAAGATATAGAACACAATGAAATGGAGTGCAATAGATTTGAATAAAAAAAGAAATTTTTTAAATAAAATACATGAAGAAACATGTAAAAAACCCAATAAATTACAAATTCATCTTGGGTATAGAGAACTGGACGTTTATAAAAGCATTCTGGACTTTATATATAATTAATTATTCGGAAATCGTGAGATGCGGTCTGGTGTGACGTGCAAAAAAACTTTGATTGAATATAAAAAATGTTTTTTGTGCATTGTATAAATTCACTTTTTTCCACATCCTACAGGAATTTGTTAAATTTAAACAATGTTTGTAAATCCCAGGCCCTGAAGATGATCTCAATAAAGATCGAAACGTTGGCACGATAAAGAAAATGTTGTTCTGAAACCTACGTCAACCCGAGCGCATCTCACGATTTCCGAATAATAATAATAATAATAATAATAATAATAATAATAATAATAAATAATCATAGACTAACGGTCACTAATCACCACATACTTCATATATAGTCTTGATTCACTAATTTAAAATTAAAATTTAGTTAGTTATTTATCTGTTTGTTCTGTGTATCTTTTATCTATTAAACAATTTATTTATTATATATTTATTGTGAAATACAGTTCAGGTACTTTGTAAGGCGTGAAATTTATTGTATATGTATATTTATAGGTGTATTTGTATTTATATTTCAGTTTTTATACAATTTTCTTGAGCAAATTACGGGGAAAAACGTATAAACCATTAGCATTCCCATATTATAAACAAAATATAATATTGTAGTTGTATTTCTTAGGCATATTATTTTCAATAATGACATATTAGTATTAATGAAGAAGTATATATTATATACTAAAAACATACAAGAAATATCTTAAATATCTAAAAGAAAAGCCCAAAATGGCTAGAAACATTTTAAACTTTACAAAACGTAAATGTGTTATTTGTGTTATAGCTCGATTAAGAATACATCTTGGTTTCAAAGAAGCAGTTTCACGTTTTTAATTGGATCGATGTGGTTTGTGTCGACGGGCATAATAAAAGTGTTTCCTTTTGTACTAAACGAGAATCAGTTTCCGGAGTTACAACGTTCAAATGCGACCGTATATACGAATTAACGCACGTCCCTCAAAGACAGAGATGTGATTGGAATTAATCAACTAACCTTGGACTAGTTGTGGTCAAAGATTTCTCCCTTGATTCAGGTCTCAACCACCTTTACAACAAATTTTACTATTCGTTTTGTTTTTGCCCTGTAAGATCCCAAAACAGGTGAAGACAGCGACAAGTAGAACCAAATTCAATTGTTACTGCCGAGCTTTCGACCTATTTGAAGGTCATCATCGTGGCAAAACAATCTTTAATATGACAATTTGTAGACATTTATGGTAGTTTAGCTCAGATGATGACCTTCAAATAGGTCGAAAGCTTGGCAGTAACAATTGAATTTGTTTCTTAATCCAGTCCGTACCAAGATCCAGATGATTCTCGAGTCAAAAAGTCGTCGATACAGCTAACGCTTTAAACAAGTAGAACAACCGTCTTGTTTATACAGAAAAATTCGGTTTTGACCTTTAGATGTTCATCTCATGATTTATCTCAAGGTTTCATACACCAGTGCAAAACATTACTTCTTCCGTTACTGTAACTAATGAATTAGAAAGGGAAAACAGGGCTGTGTCATTCTTCTGCAACCGGCTGGGAAAATAGCTGTTGCTTTGAATACGGGCGAAACGAAAATGATTCTTCAAAAGATGATGATGACAAATAAGATAACAGGCGAGGCATGACTATTACGCTATAAAAACATGCTTAATGGCACCTGCTTTAGTGGCTTTTGTTTGCTGGAGGCATTTACCTGTACCTTATTGTTTCATAACTCGTTTCAACCCATATTCAACGCTCGGCTGTATTATTTAAACAAATAAGAAACCGGAGAGGCTTGCACTAGACTGTAGACAGCAAAGTAAGCCTTAAAAATTTCATGTTGGCACGTAAAAAACAAAAAGAATTAGTCGTAAGTCCTATAAAAAAAAGTATTATTGCCTAGTTGGACTTTTACGATCGATTATTACCAGACCGTTTCAACTCCCGTTTAAATTGTAAACAAAGTTTAAAGGGAGAATAGAACTCAAATTAAAAGTTAGATTCCTTTGATTGCCCCTTCACCTGCCTCATTGAAAGGATAAAATACATAAAATACTACCTCTCATAAAACTAATAGAAAAGCGTATTTATTTATTTAAACATACGGATTTATCCTTGTTACAAAAATGTAAGATTTATAACACTAAACAAGTAACAGCAATTAGAAACATACTTTAAATACATAACTAGTATCTTATTAAAGAATATGTTGACGTCACAAATATATTTGGATTCAGTTATTATAACAAGTATGGTTGGCACAGAGGATTTTTAAAAAGCTCAACATAAAAGTACCCGAAAAATTTGGTTTCATACAAGTACCTTCCATTAGGTAGCGTTGATATCTGTGACTATCACCTATAACCGAACTAACTTTTAAGTTGTGCTGGAAGAAAACTCATTATGCCTAAATTGTAAACTGAATACAATTCAGTTGAATCATTCCTTATAAATACATTATTAAGATATTGCAGAATATGTTTTAGGAAGGTCTTCATGATGTCATTCTGATTTTTGAACGATTTTATCAAAATTTCGATTATAGTTCGTTAAAAGATCTGTACAAGATAATCATTACTTTTTGTGTATATTGAGAGTGGATGTATTAATTAGAGTCAATGTGCAGTCTGAGAAGATGGTGTACTTAATACCCCATCGAAGATCAATTAGATTAGTTATCAACTTATATAATATGTATGAATTGAGTTCTCCACCACCCTTGGTAGATATTTAATTTTGTGTTAACTTTTGCGTGTATTAAAAGTAAATGTGTAGTCTCAGAAGATGGTGGGACGTTGAATACCTCCATCGAAGATCAATTAGATCAGTTATCACTATGTATGAATCGATTACTGCACCTCCTTACATGGTAGATATTTCTTTTGTGTTACCTTTTGTGTAACTGAGAGTGAATGTTGTAGTCTGACACGATGGTGGGATGTTGGATACCCCTATTGGACCTTACAAATTTATATAGTATACTGCATAGACGTCTCCACATACATTGCAATTTAAATTTACTTTTAGCTGTTTGCTACAATTTTTTGAAAATTTTTAGGTATAACCTTCTGATATGAGTCGGAAATTTCTTACATATGTTTATCACCATCTATATAAATAGGGTTAATAAATATTATTTAACACCCAGGGTAACACCCAAAAGACAAGGAAAAAATAAACAAGACAGTGAAAAGAGGTGTAACAGAGGTGAGAGGTGTAAGGTAAGGTGTAAATAGAGAAATACTTCTACATATATTCAACTCTATATTTCTTCGACGAGTCCATAAAAATTACCTCTTATGCCAACCAAACTTAACGATTATGTGAAATATATGCTATTTTAAATTGTAACAGTGTGCTAGTTGTGCTATTGAAAATAACAAAAGTTGCTATTTGTTTGCTGGCTATATTTTGTTCACAAATAAAAAACATGTGAAAATATTTTTTTTCTTTCCTCACGTTTTCCCTCATTTACCTTATCCTTTGAAAACAGGTCTTAAAATTATGATGATGAACATTTAATGCTTGAAAACCAGATCGTTCTAAACAAAAAAATCTATGAGTAGAACCATCATGTACAAAAAGTGAATCTATATACTCACCTTCACCATTTATACTTAGTTCTATTGTGCATCTCCATAATTTCTTGAGCTCCTCTTTATGCTTAAGACTTTTTACCAGATCCCAAAGCTTTAAAGTCTCGTAAGCTGAAGGACTTTTTAATATCAGGCTTTGGCTTTTCTTTTACCAGTAATCTCATCCTGCATAGAAACCAACATAGAACATGTTTTTCTTTCTGGCAATATCTGCATAGGCTCGTTTTTGCTACTCTGAGTTTATATGACTTTAGCGTCTGGAGTGTTCAACCATAATTATAATTTATATACCTAACACTGTCTTAGCAGATCTACCATTAGTTTATTCAAGGGTCCTTCATTGAACGTTTTCCTTTTTTCCTGAATATGATGTAGTGAGAATTTAAATAAAGAGGATTTGGGCAAATAATATTTTAAAATGCAAAAATTGTTTTAATAAATTATTGACGTTGTTACATTGAATATAATTCATACACTCCACAACATTTTATAATGTTTTATTTATAAAATAATCCATTTTCAATATTAACACTTCCTACTAAAACTAATCTTATCACAAATACCCCACCACATGTAAATGTTTAGGTAACAAAATGTACAGACTAGGCTTCCTGAAATATGTACGTTTAATATTAACATCTGATTTCATTTTGATTAGATTGATTAGCAAAGCTCATCAACCAGTTATAACAAAAATAAAAAGGATAAATTAAAAAGTCAGATTTATGGTTCTTTTTCATGCTTATGAACTGTAAATATTGAAATTTACTGTCAGTAGAATATGACACTATGTTTAGTTTATTACTAGATGAGGATATATCAACTCAATAATTTTTAGGCAATTTTCAACTATTTAACTTAGAGCGTAATATTTACTATGGTACAATCGATTAAATTAGTTTGGCACCGAAAATTACATATACAATTCAGGTTTACATATTATTATGAAAGATATTAAATATCAAATTGGGTACAGATAAATTTGGTTGTATTATTAACAATAATATACATATATATTTTTAGAATAAAAAATATAGAAAAAAGGAACTAATTGTACATTCTAATTCAATTATTTACAAATAAATAATAATAAAATAGTATGTTAATTTAAGTGTAGTTTTCAGGAATGTATTTCATCTTTCTTTTTGATATACATTAACATGAAATCTACACTTCCACTCATCACATCCTAAAAAATTAATGTTTAAAAATGTGCACTTTGGATTTGCAGCATTTCTAAAATCAATGCCAAATTAAGAAATGTGAATGTATATATTTGTTGAATTTAGACGTAAATGTTAATGAAAAAAGGGATAGTTTTGTAACATCACAATCCAAATCATAAACTGATAATTTTTTTGAGCAACATGTTCTAATAAACCAAATATAGACTAATTCACCAAATTCATATGTATTAATATTGAACACATTAATAAAGTTAGTTAATGAGTTAATACATATGTTTGGTTTTATGTCTTTTGTGCACAATAAAATAAAGCTATTCAGATAATTAACAAAACGTTAAAACTGCCTACTGAAAAAAATACTATTTGTGTTTGAATACCGACATGTCTTACATAATGACATTCTGTAATACATCATTGGTCATTCCAGATCTATTTGGTTTCTCGTCCATTATCACTTCATTTTCTTCAGCATTAAAGTCCTCTTCTTCTTCTTCATGATTGTTTCTGAAATCATTAAATATTTAAAATATCTAATAAAAATAGTATTGACAATAACATGTAAACCAAACTGTTGTTACAATAAAACATTTTTTTTTTTTTTTTTTTTTTTTTTAATGGCCTTATGAACTAGTATATTAGCAGTAAATATTTGTTTTATCATATGTATATAGTTGGGAGGAAGGGTAGCAAAAAAAGGACCACGGGTGACGGTGGGAATCGAACCCATGACCCCACGTCTAGAACCGAGAGTCTATCACACTAACCACTCAGCTACCACTGTCCCAAAAAGAGTGAACATTAAATTTTGTAAAGATGAATTTATTAAATTAATATATCTGTGCTGAACTGATTATCTGTTGAATTCTGTTGTTTGGAGAGTGTAATTGGTATTTAATGGATCAATAAGGGACATAAAATAAGGTGTAAAGTCGGGTTTTGTATTTAGGAATATTACATTTTATGGAGGGAAGCAGTTAAGGGTAGGAGAAAAAATTTGTAGAGAAAAATGCAATGCTTGTCCTTCCTTCAGGGATTGGGGGGGGGATTAATGAGGAGGCCTGACAATAGAAAATAATCGAAATTATCAAGTCAATAAATAACAAAAAATTTATACATACACATATTTATTTTTTGATGGATGAGAAAACAGAGATTTTGGACAATCTTTGTAGTATGGGAAGCATTCTCCCTGTTCCAGTCCTAGTCGTTCAGCTTTAACATATTCGCTTAATGATTCAGCAAAAGGAGATTTGCTAGCTCTACAAATGAACAGCAAAGATAAGAAAGAATTGTTGAAAATATAATGTCTCGTTTATAACTTACGTAAAAAACAGTTTTATCATTTCTCCAAATATTCCATACGTTCTCAACGAATGAACGTGGACTTCGCAAATCGCCCTCAACAAGCATGCTTTTCCATCAAGTCCGAAATTGGCCAAAAAATCCTCAACAACAATGTATAATATAGCCCTGAAAACATTTGTGCTCATTTATGAAAATGTTTAAATACATATTTCATATCACGTTCTGTATATCAATCATGTTAAGTTTTATATTCAACTTAGAAACAAAAGTTCAGGTTATGACATGAAGTGACTTTCGTCCATCATTAACCTTCTTTAACGTCAAATTAACCCTTTCTTTAAAATTAAAAATTTAGGAAATGGTATGAAATCTCATAAAGTACAATTCCTGTATAGTTGAAATTTTTTTAACCCGTACGTAGGAACACTTTCCTACAGAAGTGGCCATGGTTGGAGGTACACTGCTCCATCCGTTGATGAGTGCTTCAGTTGGCTTTGGGCCTCGGTGCAGAGAGTTCATAGGAGTCTCCAAGTCACCTCATTTACCAATAATTCCATTTCTGTAAACCCTACCTCTCAGATGTTTGTATAAAGCGTGGTTTCCATACTTGACTCTCAGATAGATATTCCTAAATGATCTTATTATATCCTCTGATAATGTTTCCATATCACTGAATTGTATGTGTGTAAGTACCTGTATACTTGTATTTTATTTATTTTTATTTCATTGTTTATTTATTATATTTATATATTTTTATATTTATATTTGTATTTATATATTTATATTTATTTTATTGGTAAGATTATTTCTTAAATCATGTTCAAAGAAGTAATATTTTTAAGTATTAGACAAAAATAGATTCTGGTGTGATATTTTTCCATTTCAGTTTGCAATATGTACGTTGCTCATGATTTTAGAGTATTTTTGTGATATGATGTAGGTACTCAATGATATGTTCTTGACTATTCGTGTATATTTTCATATATTATGAGAATAATAATGTTGCAATATTATCGAGTTCATTTCATATCTACCATTTTATAGATGGGGGTGTGGGGGTTCTGTGATTTGTTCTTAGATTTTCTAGTTATACTTCTACTTACTGGACGTAGTATTAGTTATTTTGATTTGAATTTGTTTTTGTATAATATTAAATGTAGGACCATATGTTTGTCTGTTTAATGTGTGAGGTTTTGGTTTTGCACTTTATCTCTTGACTCTTAGTAGTATAATTCATACTTAATATAATTAATTCATAATCAATTTATAATAGTTTAATTTATAGTGTAATTATTTGGTAGTATTTTTACTAGTATGATTATTTCCAATGTTAGCCAATTTCGATAAATAGACTCCTTACTAAGAAGCAATTTTTTATTTTATTTCCAAACTAACCATTTATTTTCTAAATTAATTATTATCGTAATTTTCTATTAACCTATTAACTATCATAAAACAAAAAAATTAACCATATATTTACAAATAAAGCGTATTTTTGGAATTGATAAATATGCAAAACTGCGCTAAAATGTTTTATAAAGTCATATAAAATAATAGAAAAAAAAAATTGTAGTTTTGTAATGTGTGTAAGAGGGTAAAATTGACACTCATTTTTGGGAGACAGATGTAAACCTATTATGTTCCTACAAACGGGTTAAACATAAAATAATGAGGCTCTTTTAAGACAATATAAATAATTAAAATTAAAAAATATATAATTAAATATAAAAACAAATGATTATTTTATTATTAAATAGGGATTTTTCAAATATAAAACAATTAGTCTCTTAAAAACGATATGAAAATTAAAAGTTATANAATATTTTAAATTTTATTCATAATTATTTATTATATGGTCTTATAAGGGCAATTATTTTATATTAAACCAAAATTCTCAAATATACAAGAATTTTACTTATATTTACCATCTCTTAAGAATTTTTAATATTTAACGAAACGGTTAATTTGAAATTAAAAAGGGTTAACTTGAAGTTGAAAAGGTTCATTTGAAATAAAAAAAGGTAATTTAAAGTTCAAAGAGGTTCATTTGACACTACTACACAGATTATATGTTATTTAAATAAAAATATATTAAAATAAAATGTTATTATAATAGAATATTCTACAGTTAAATGCTAAATAATTCCATATATGTTTTGCAGTCATAATTGACCATGTTAATTATTTCAACTAATTATTCTTTTTATCTAAGGTCTTGATCGAAATGAAGGTCGTGGGTTCGAATTCCGCTTGTGACTTTTTCATCTTTACCAAGACCTTAGATAAAAAGAATAATTAATTGAACTAAATAAACCTTTTACCCTTTCCCAAAATGCAATTTTTAAATTTTTTTTTTAACGAGGATTTGCAACAGCAGAGGTCATATAAACCCTCAGGGTGCCAGTGTTTTTTTTTTAAAAAAAAGCCCATTTGTAAGTATGTCGGGTTCGAATGCAGGGCCACTGGATTCGAACCCGGGACCTTTACTTTACAGTGCTGAGCGCCTTGTCAAAGACTAAACCTTGCGGCCACCAACGCCCCCCCCCCGCCCCAAAATGCAATTATGGCTACATTTACTGGTGAACTAAAATAAAACCAAAACAATATAAAACCCAAACGCACAAAAAAAAAAAATTTACAAAGAATGTTTTCGCTGTGTATAACTGGCGCAAAGGAACACAATACTAGCCGCACTGATGAAGACAATTTTCAGTGCAAGATAAGAAGGCATGAAAAATTTATTGTAACTTAATACTTTGTAAAAATTTTTTTGATAAAAACATGGTTGTCAACAATGAAAGTCTAGTTTATATAAAAAAGCTTACCGTTCTCCCCCATGAAAAAGCGCTGATGCTTCAGATATAACACTTTGTTCTGCTGATCTTGAGGATCGCTTTTTGTTCAGTAATGATGCAATATAATCTGCTACGACTGCACCTGCACTTCTTCCAAGTCCTCTCGCTATGATTGGAGGCAATGCACCATATGGATTTTGGTTATCCGTCAATCCGAGAACATCAAAGTTAACTAAAACATAGTTTTTTTTTTAATTTTAATAATGCAGGTTTAAAATTATAGCTGTTAAATATTACAAGTTATTATAATAAATTAATATTCAATGAAATAAATTATGTAATAACTTATGAATGAAATTACTTGTAAATGGAAGGCTAATTGTCATATTAGATAGAAATCCATCTGGTGGGTAACGGACAAATGGCATAGAAATTGTAGGAGTTATTGTCAGTAATGTGCCTGGAGGTAGCGCCAGCCTTCCATCTGTAGTAATCCACACAATCCTTTTTTGCCTTCCAGCCCTTTTGTCGCCCTGGCATACGTGTGTAGTAGTGATGGTCATCACTAGAATGAGAGTCATATAGAACCACCTGGCCATACCTGGAAAAGTACAACATAAAAAAATTAAACCCACAAAAATCAATAAAATCAATTAAATACAATTAATTTTAAGTTTCCTTTTCATAGAAACAACGGTGAATTTCAATGAACTGGTGCAATTTTGATAATCTTTCATGATGTGAATGATCGGTGAAATCAATTTACATAGAAAAAATCATATTTAAGCAAAAATCATGTTTAGATCAGGTTTTTTTAGGAAATGTTTATAACAACAGCCTTCTTTCTTCTAGTAATATTTGATTTTGGGTAGATACATTAGAAAAACACAACTTTTTCTTTATACATAGTGGGTGACACCATCTAGTGGCTGCTGAAGGAAGGCATACTTAATTTTTCATTAATTTTTATTACGGTGTATTATTGTCTAAAATTGCATTGTTGAAATCAGATGTGAAGTTAGCAACTAAGAGAAACAGATTTTAATGATACTTTTTGGTGTTTCTAGGTCAAAAAATGTTAGATATATCTGCGCTTTTATGCGCTAATTGGCCGAGAAAATGTATATTTTCACAAATATATGGACAAAAATCCTGAAACATTTTATTTTATCTCTCTAGTTCTAATTTATTTTCAAAGACCAAGTTTGAGCACTTGCATGTAGTTGGTAAGGTTCTGAACCCTTTATAAAGCCCCCGTGGTTTAATGGAGCCGTTTGTTATACAAAGTTACGACCATTTTTGTGATATTTGCAAAACCTCAGAGGCATGGAAGGGGGAAAATTTGAGAATTTTTTTTGATTTGTAATCACTTTGTATCATGTGTAATTAGTTTGAATTTGTATTAAGAGTTTTTTGGGTGGCGGAAAACGAGTATCAAATTTGTTTCTCGCTTAAATAGTTAATTAATTAAAAAATAAGTAAATAAAAAATTAACCTAATTTGCTACCCCATTAGGTTTCGTGGTCCGATTGTCCAAATAAATTCTTTTCAATTAACTAATCTTTGAGTAAGGTATTGGTTAAGATAAAAAAGTCAGTGCCACGGGCGGGATTCGAACCCACGACCTTAGGTTAAATACGATACACCGAAGGCACGATAGCTCAAGTGGTTAGAGCAGTGACGTATTGAGCCGAAGGTCGTGGGTTCGAAACCCGCTCGTGGCACTGGCTTTTTTATCTGAACCAACACCTTACTCAAAGATTAGTTAATTGAAATTAATTTGCTACGTAGTTCAGTCCCAAATTAGGTACAATGTTTCAATATCTATGACACCCAGGGGCAAATGCAGTTTTCACGTATTGATCTAACAACATAGTACAAGAAATCAAATAAAATTTAGAATTTGTGTCTGTCCATCTGACAAAGTATTGCAAGTTTTGCACGAAATAAGTGGTACATGACTTGTTTACTAGTTGTTTCTGTGGGTGCGCGCGTAACTAGTCGTGAAAAAACTATAGTTTTATTTTTCGATTAAACTTTCCCAAAATCTAAATAATATTAGGTTTTAATAAAATCAGGCTATACGCGGGTAAGAATGATCATTGTTATTCTATTGATAGTTACCACGCTATAAAAGTAGGTCTAAAACAAGTTAAATCAGGTTTGCAAAAGGTTTACAGACAGCTTAATATTCGTGAGTCGAAGTAGAAAGTAGATGCGAATAGAATACAAGTGAGGACAATGATCGAAATATCAATGAAGGAGGCTAGACAGGTCAGAAAGCACGTACGTTCCCGCTACCGGCAGGATAAAGAGTAACGCCAGGATAAAGAATTACCTGAATTGGGACACTCGGAAGGGGGAATTTGGGCTACTTTTCGCCACTCGGTATCTGAGTGTAATAGTATTGCATGAAATAGGATAACATGTGTTTGCAAAGGAGGACATATCTCAACCCGTTAGTAGATTCCTAGCCGACGACCACTCCCTGACCATTGCCAACAAGTTACAGAACTATAAAACAACCAACAAAGGACACCCACTCTCTCTCTAAATACGTGATAAAGCGGGGAAAATGTTAAACCTCGTTGCAACATGCAACAGATGTCGGGGGAATCCACCTGTACTACCCTGATTCTCGATGTAGCTTTGTATCCTGCCCTTATAATACTCAGCCATTGGCAATGAGGTCGTGTTAACATATAAAAAAGGGCATACAGGCGCACAGACAGACCCAGAAGTACGGCCAGTATAATAATTTTTCCAAATTAATCTCAAATAAAATTCCAAGCAATATGCCATTTAAGTAAACGTTTTATGTAATCCGTTTATGTTTTAGTGGTCAATTGAACAGGTTATTTCTTTTAATTAATTATTATTTCTATGTAAGGTCTTGGTTGAGATAAAAGAGACAGTGTCACGCGTGGGATTCGAACCCACGACCTTCGGCTAAATACGCCGCTGCTCTATACTTGAGCTATCGTGACTTCGATCCTCTCGGACACCAACTCTCCATTTTAACCTACAGCCGTTCAAATTTTCCCTCTTTTTTGCCATTTTCAAATGTCGTGTAATAGGATTGGATTCTCAGCGACTTATGAAGTGGCCAAGGGGAGCTGTTTAGTGAAGTGATACTTCTTTTCCTTATTAAATATTAATCCATTTACGTTTTAGTGGTCAATTGACCAAGTGGTAGAGCAGTGGCGTATTTAGGCGAAGATGTGGGTTCGAATCACCCTCGTGACATTGACTTTTTTTTATCTCACCCAAGAACTTACATAGAACCATCTTTTTTTTTTGTTTTGCTTGATTTTTATGTTGAATTTTTCTGTTTTGTCCTTTTTATTATTAGCCCGTTTTTATGTTTTAGTGGTCAATTGAACAAGTTACTTCTTTCAATTAATTATTCTTTTTATGAAGGTCTTGGTTCAGTAAAAACTCAGTGTCACGAGCGGGATTCGAACCCACGACCTTCGGCTAAATACGCCGCTGTTCTAACCGCTTGAGCTGTCGTGACTTTGATCCTCTTGGACACCAGCTCTCCATCTCAACTTACAACCTTTCGAATTTTCCCTCTTTTTTGCAAAAAAAAAGTTAGGTTGAGATGGAAGTTAATGTCCGAGTTGGATCGAAGTCACGATAGCTCAAGTTACTACTCTACTGAGCAGCGGCTATTTAGCCGGGGTTCGAATCCCACTTGTGACACTCACTTTTTTATCTCAACCAATACCTTAAATACAGATTAATTAATTGAAAGATATTTGGTCAAACGGACATCGAAACCTAGGGAATTAAATATTAATCCATTTTTATGTTTTAGTGGTCAATTGACCAAGTTACTTCTTTCAATTAATTATTCTTTTTATGAGATTTTTATGAGATGATGATTCTTGGTTGAGTAAAAACTCAGTGTCACGAGCGAGATTCGAACCCACGACCTTCGGCTAAATACGCCGCTGTTCTAACCGCTTGAGCTATCGTGACTGATCCTCTTGGACACCAACTCTCCATCTCAACCTACAATCTTTCAAATTTTCCCTCTTGTTTTCCCTTTTTCAAATGTCGTGTAATCAGGATTCTATTTTCAGCGACTGTTGAAGTTTTAGTGGTCTATTTGATCAAATTACTTCTTTCAATTAATTATTCTTTTTATGTAAGGTCTTGGTTGAGATGAAAAAGCTTGGTGTCCGAGTGGATCGAAGTCGCGGTAATTCAAATGGTTAGAGCAGTGGCGTATTTAGCCGAAGATCGTGGGTTCGAATCCCGCTCATGACACTGCCTTTTTTTATCTCAACCAAGACCTTACATAGAAAGAATAATTAATTGAAAGAAGTAACTTGGTCAATTGACTACTAAAACGTAAATGGATTAATATTAAATAAGTAAAAGAAGTATCACTTCACTAACTAGCTCCCCGTGGCCACTTCATAAGTCGCTGAGAATCCAATCCTGATTACACGACATTTGAAAATTTGCAAAAAAGAGGGAAAATTTGAACAGCTGTAGGTTAAAATGGTGAGTTGGTGTCCGAGAAGATAGAAGTCTCGATAGCTCAAGTGTAGAGCAGCGGCGTATTTAGCGGAAGGTCGTGGGTTCGAATCCCGCGCGTGACACTGTCTCTTTTATCTCAACCAAGAACTTACATAGAAAGAATAAAATAGTTTTATGTAATGTTAACGTAATGTTAACCCTTAATGCATTCGTATGACAAAATTTACAAAATATGAAATTTAACAATAAAATTTTGCTCGATATCAACAGAAGTGTGTTTCAAAACCCATATAATTTTAAAATGAAGAAACCAGTAAAACGCCGATGATATGTTCAAGGCAACAGAAAAAAAAATGAATAGAAGCACAATCGATAAAGTTAATCAGCATTATGGACAGGAACTGGGTCTAAACGTCCACCTCTTCTCTTAACGAAGAGCAGCAGGCGATTTTCCAATAAAACCCTATGTTTGAAAATAAAACGAATCCTTAAACTAACCAACACCCACGCAGTTTTAAACACGAGTCAATTAATTTAACAAAAGTGGTACCACTACTTCTATAGGCTGTTAAAGTAAATAAATAAAATGTATAATTTTGCTTTAACTTTTTCATTTCTTGTATTGGTTGTACTAGCATTATTTTTGTATATATTTAATATAGAAAGGTCTTGCCCTCCATTGATCATCAAACAAGGAGCCACCGACTTCCATTCAATTCAGGTACCTAGGACCTAACCTAGAAAAAAGACTCGTGGAATCCCCCAGGACTTAAGAGGCTAATTAACGGAAGATTTGAACAATTGTGAAGATATTTAGCCCCGAAATCTTCATCCTGTTTACCATTTACGGATGACTATCCTATACATTTCAACATCATCATTACGGCTCCGGATGATTTTGCTTTCTAACCCTAAATCCAAGCAACCTTCCAACATTCAAGAACACCTGAGTTTAATACAGGTGCAAAAAGTGGAAGAGAAGAATTACGAAAATGTACACAGCTGTATGGAAAAAACACTTACCCTCCACTGTACGTCAACTACAAGGATCTACCGACCTTTATCAGAGTCAAATATTTTGGACGAATGATACCTAGACATCAGACTGAC